TATCAGTGGATGAATTTGATGGCTTAAACGTTGTTATCAATGTCATGCTGTCGCTGATGAAGCATGATGACCATTTACGCCGTGCTCAGGCGGCAATTCACCTGAACAAGTTCTTCTCGGATGCTACGATCGACTACTCTAGATATCACCAAGACTTGATTCGCGTCTTGCTGATTTCCTTCGATGACAATGATAAGGGTGTGGTCAAGGCTGCGTGGACAGCGCTGAGTGGCCTAACATCCCATATGCGTAAAGAGGAAATGGAGGTGTTGGCCATCCCCACTCGTCAGGTCCTGCGGGGAGTGGGTGTGCCTGGAGCCAATCTTCCTGGCTTCAGCTTGCCAAAGGGCATCACCGCTATCCTGCCGATCTTCCTGCAGGCTCTTCTCAACGGCAGTGTTGAGCAGCGTACCCAGGCGGCTCTTGCCATCGGTGACATCATTGATCGTACTGCAGCAGATTCCTTGAAACTCTTCGTGACGCAGATCACAGGTCCTCTCATTCGAGTGGTGTCTGAGCGATCAGTAGATATTAAGTGTAAGTCATTCGTGCTTCTCTGTGGAGTAAGTTATTGACAACTAATCTCACCGACTAGGCGCTATCTTCTACACTCTCAACAAGCTTTTGGGAAAGATCCCGCTTGCTGTCAAGCCATTCCTGCCACAACTTCAACGGACGTTTGCTAGAGGTTTGGCAGACACGACCAGTGAAACTTTGCGTAACAGGGCTGCCAAGGGTCTTGGAATTCTGATCACGTTGACGCCAAGAGTTGATCCCCTTATTGCCGGTACGGTTTTCCTTATTCTCTAAACTGTGGATACGGAGTTAGTGCTAACCTAGAGATCAGAGCTTATTGCGGGAACCAAGACCGCCGATGTTGGCGTCAGAAATGCCATGATGAAGGCCCTCCAAGAGGTGGTTGGCAAGGCCGGTGCTAACATGAGCGAGGCTTCCAAGAATTCTATTCTTGCGCTTATCGATGACGACGCTAGCGATCAAACGGGTAGGTTCTATGACAGCCTACAAAAAGTTCGTTGCATATCTAACTGTCTGATAGATTCTGTGGCCATTACGAATGCCAAGTTGCTTGGTGCGCTGGTGAAGGTCCTCCCTCCAGCCACTGCCACCCCTCTTATCAAGTATGTTTGATCTTCCATACATTTCTTGAAAGGCACTGGAACTAATGAAATTGCAAGGAATCGCGTGCTTACGACACACCCTACGCATTCATCAATTTTGGGGCTCAACGCCTTGCTTGTTGACTCTCCAGCATCCTTGACGGAGAATTTCGCCGCCGAAACGATCTCAGTTATCAGTCAGGGCGTGACAAATAAAGATGTGAGTCAATATACGATTCCAGCGCACAAAGCTAGGATGCTAACACTGGAAAGACCTTCATTGCCGACAACAGTGTTCTGGCGGCTGGAAAATACCTGTTGATCGACGATGAGCATCGCAGTTTCGAGAATAACAAGGCTATTTTCGAAGCCTTGGCACCGTGCATTCAGCCAGGTGCACCCTCGGACACACGTCGTTTGGCGCTAGTTGTTATGCGGACCGTCAGCCGTCTTCATCCAGAGTTGACCCGGCCCCATCTGGCTCTGCTTGCGCCACCAATCTTCGCCGGCGTCCGCGACATGGTTATCCCCGTGAAATTGGCGGCCGAGGCTGCCTTCTTGGCGATCTTCTCGGTCGTGGAGTCAGAGAGTGCCGTATTCGATAAGTATATGGCTGGGCCGGGGGCCGAGCTTGCTCCAGGACCAAAACGGAGTATGTCGGACTACTTCAAACGAATTGCGCTACGTCTGGCTAGTCAATCTCGGGAACGCAAGGAAGCTGAGGGTGGACAAGGAGGCCTGGGTCTCTCCAACGACGAAGTGGAGGATGAGAAAGAGTTGTGGAGTATTGGAAAGGTGGATTTGGAGGAAGGCCCCGTGGATGAGTGATTGTTATGGTAGTTCTGTTCTGCAGCGCTGCATGAACTAGATCTATACCCCATTTGTATGTGGTTGCTGTTGTTTTCTGTCAGGAGGATGACTGGTTGGTTATATTTGTCTATATGAGAAAGGGAAGCAAAACCGAAAAGAAGTGAAGCCAGGTGAGTAGATATGATCATGATGACGACGATGTGACCAATGCATGATTTTCTTTTCTCCTCTTGAGATGCGGATGTATAGTATGTAGCTAGATAGACTGACGAGCCTTATCGGGCGGTCAGCCTCCGCCCTCCCTGTGTATGGTCACGTGGTCACCATTGGTGGATTCCCCACGAACATCAAAGGTCAGTCGCCCTTCAGTTGGTTAGGATAAGGGTATACGGTCGGAGAGCCAGGAGAACAATACTACGGTAGGCTATTATTCCAGAAAGGACATGCAGAGGTACGTCCTACCAATGCTCATGGCCATGACGGAAGAGGGGGGCCTGCTTAGAAGATCTGGGGCACAAGCCCTAAGGTGGATCAGTCTCGCTTAGGAGCACAGTTGCTGAGCTAATCAGCCGGCGTATCTTCAAACTCCTCACTTCTGGATTCTCACCCGTCGACGAGTGCAACGAACATCATCCGCCAACGACCGTCGATACGCCGACATCAAGATGTGAGTTCATCTCCAAATCGTGATATCGTGACTTTGCTGGGGGATCACTGCTCTTCGGTGGCCTTATATGCCCTGATTACGCCCCCCCGATACGGCCCCTCTGGGACTACTCCTTTGGAAAAACAATTTGTTCGATCGATTTGGGCTTCATGCTGACCGACGGTTTTTCATCCACAGGGTCAACCTTCGCACCCAGAAGCGCCTCGCCGCCTCCGTGGTGGGCTGCGGCAAGCGCAAGATTTGGCTCGACCCCAATGAGATGAATGAGATCTCCAACGCCAACTCCCGCCAGACCATCCGCAAGCTCGTCAGCGATGGCCTCATCATCCGCAAGCCCGTCACCATGCACTCCCGCGTCCGTGCCCGTGAGCTCAACGCCGCCCGCAGAATCGGCAGAAACCGCGGTCTGGGTAAGCGTAAGGGTACCAAGGAGGCCCGTATGCCCAGGTATGCAGTTATCCTACTTTCCCTGGGACGCGACGAATGACGGTTGGCTGGTCCATGACCAATGGAATCAATGTCGTGATGGGTTATGCCGTGGTGGAACTCTTTGACTGATGGGTTCTCGCATAATATAGCCAGATTCTCTGGATGCGCCGCATGCGTGTTCTCCGTCGCCTCCTCGTCCGCTACCGTGCTGCTGGCAAGATCGACAAGCACCTTTACCACGAGCTCTACCACCTGAGCAAGGGTAACACCTTCAAGCACAAGCGCGCTCTCGTTGAGCACGTAAGTTTCCGCCCAATCCGCCCTTCTCAATCACCGTTTCTCGGTGGGCTCATGCGCGAGCCCTCGATGTCATCAAGACCCCCACACAATTGATACGGCGACCGGAATACTGACTTATATTCTCCAACAGATCCAAAAGGCCAAGGCTGAGCGTCACCGTGAGCGTGTCCTCAAGGAGGAGATGGATGCCAAGCGTGCCAAGAACAAGGCTCTCCGTGAGAGACGTCAAGAACGTCTCGAGGCCAAGCGCAACGCTCTGGTCGGCGAGGCCCAGGAGTAAATTCCCATCCGTTGACAACGTGTTTTGGCGGTGCGGAGGTTGAACTGGGAGGAGAAATCAAGAGACTCGGTCAGCCTACAAGAAAAGTCTAGGTCGACCATTTCTGTTTTCTCAATGGCTTTGATTCATCCGGGACGGTTTTTGGTACAAGGGTGATCCTGGAACGGGGGCTTGGGGAAACAGAAGGAAATGAATGCATCTCTTTTCTTCCATGGGCCGTCTGAAAAGAGAACCAGGGAAAAGAATGAAAAATACCATTTGATTAAAGCAAAAACAATGGCATGGCGCTTTGTGTGATACGAATACTCCGATTTTTTCATCTGCATTCTACCTCAACTGCTCTTCAATCCCTCCCAAAACGCCCGGATGCTCAAACTTCTTCAAATACCCTCTCTCTCGACCTCCCCAAACCAGGCTGTTTTCTACCGCATCTATCTTATCTCCTAATGTCGTAACGTTTTACTGAATCTCACTCGAGGGTTAGGTCATGTAAATGTGAATTGTGTTCAGCATGAGGTCATAATCGCTCTGTGATGTACCTGTAGATACACCCCTCCGCGTGGGTACACATCTACCCGTACAACTCAACCATGAAATCTCCACCAGCACGCCAACCACCATGCGGCTGTAGGTCTAGACCCTCCAAGTTGGGTGGGAGTACGAATATAGCCATCATGGTGGGTATATCACCTCAAATATTCCTGCCCCCTCCTTTTTTCCCCGTTCTATCTATAGCCATCTTCCCGACATCAATAGCAAACTATCAACCGCTGTACGTCGAAATTTAGGTGATTCTCTTATTCGAAATAACCTCTTTGTTTGTTCAGTTATTCCTGATAGTGGTGGATATTTGAGTTTCAACAAAGATATATTTTTGGAACCCCGTCGCTGCGGCCCTACGAACAAAAGAATCGAATATTATTAGTTCACACCAACCCACCTTCAATGGAATGAGATGCTCAACACAGCACCCCTCTTTAAACCTAATCAGTGACATCTCTTTGTAAACCTGAAATGTGTTTCACCACTAGCGTGGACCTAGGGTTAACCAACCAGCACACCGATGTCATAGCCAATGAATGTATATCAGAAACGGCAAGGCAATGTTCAACAGTTTTAGTGTTACATCATGGAGTATCGTACATAATTATCGCTGGCCCAGCTTAGGGCTGAGGTGAAAGAAAAAGTTAAAGTACAATATACTGCGAATGATATCAAAGAGAAATACAATGCAACCATCCCATGTATCCCTCAATGTCAACCTAAGAGAACTTCATGGCTCGTGTCACATATCTTGTATACTACCGCAGAGACACACCCCACTGCTTCACTGCTGATTCCTTCTTTAGGAAGACCTTAGCGACGACCGCCTGGGTTATGACACCAAAGGCTACACCTACGGTCTTAGCTGCGTCGCTGAACCAATTGGGTGTACCGCCCTCGCTGGAACTTCCAGATCAAACGGATCACTCCGTGTACTGCGCGGGCTAATTTTAGTCACCAGTTCGTTTGCACCGCATGGTTCAAGTTCTGCCGCCGAAACCCGGTAGCTGAATCTCTGCAAGCTGCTCCCTAGACTACTTCGCCCAGGAAGAATGAGAGTGCTGCCCAAGCTACGATCACTGCTATAAATAGATCCGTGCTCTGAGCTCAAGGGTAATTCGGACCGTCTTCGCCCCGCATGGACAGTTGGTAAAATGCTATCGGAAAATGTTCGAAGCGGTAGATTCTCCCCTGGAATAACCGGCTTTTGGTCATATTTTTGGTCCATGAATAGAGACTGAGTTGTATCTTCTATTCCAAGCATGTCGTTTCGCAATCTTCCATGCATCTCTGCGGAATCTGAAAAAGGATCCGAATAGCACGCTGATGCTCGATTGCTATCATCCTGGTAGTAGGCGCTCATCCGAGCTTCTGGTGCATATTTGTATTGCGAGCGCATAGACCCTCCAGAAACGTATCCGTACTGTAAGCCAGCCGAGGAATCTGCCGATTGTCGGTCGGCTCTTAGAAGCTTTTCATTCCCTCCAAAGCATTGGTCTCCGCCTGATCTCCTCCGCCTGTGTCTGAATAACAGTAAGCAGATCAGAAAAACAGCTGCAATGAAGCCCATCGCACCGAGTACGCTGCCAAGTAGAGTGCGGAGCGAGGCACGTGATCCATTGTCTGGAGACGAAAGTGAACTTCCATGATCCGAGTTGTTTTTGGGAAGGACATCTCCCGTTGCCGTTGAGGTAGTCGCCGTTGAAGGCCCTCTCGTACGGGAGGTATGCCTTAGGATAGCCTCTGTGGAGCTCGAGCTCGAGAAACTGCTATGTATGCTTGACGCAATTGGCTCCAGCGTTGAATAACCGGCATCATAGGATGATACTAGACTGTATGTCTTCGTAATACCCTCAGTACTTGAAGGATACGAATCACTAACTGTAGTGGTGATGACGAAAGAGCTGACAGGTGGTAGATGCGTTGGTATCGTGTTAGGCGTTTCTGTACTCGATTGCGACGCCGTTGCTTGCGATGTGCTTAACGTAGTAGGGTCATTGAATGGGGAGGTCTCAACGTCTGGTGATGGATCTGTAGTTAAGTTTGGTCCGTCGGTCGAAGTGGTAGTTATCGGGGAGGAAGTCGAGGTGGAGAGATTGATGGAAGGCGATACAGCCGCGGCTGACCTTCGCGGGACTTTAGTACATCGTAAGCCCTGATGAAAGATAATGGAAGGACTGGACATTGACATGTCGTCAAGCCCGCAGGCTAGAGGGACGTGACAACCGTTCTGCTAGAGCAGGAAAGGCACGGCGTAGTGCGTCAAATAACACCACAGTAAAAGGAAAGGAACGAGTACTGTCAGCAAGGACGGCGCGTATGACGGTGAGTAGCGATATCAATCAAAAAAATCGACCGAAAGGAACGTGTAACCGACGAAGACCCAGGACTATGAATAAGGAAAGACAGATGCAAGCATATTAGGTTCTTCTCAGTATGATATTCTCTCTACAGATTGCAGAAAACAAGCCATGACAATAGGTGTCAGAGGCGTTCACTCGCGTGGAATCCTCCCGTTTCAGGATAGGATGGTGAAGCAGTCTCTAGTGATCTAGAGAGGGGTGCGAAGGTGGGATGTCAACCACACCAATATAGATCGAGGAAGACGCAAGAAGATAGAACAAACAATACAACCAAGTCCAAGAGAAGAGGGTGAAAAAGGAACAACCTTGAACTGAAACTCGAGGTTAGCCGGGCGTGTAGCCAAACGCGGACGGACCATAACATAACATTCAATAAAAGAGAGACCTGGAAAACACTATTCGGTGAAGCTTACGCAGGGGATGGATGGCTGTTGACTCGCATCGGAGGAAAGGCTGAAACACTATCCATCCAGAACATCCAATCCCTTTCACAGAGGGGGTCTGTGACATTGGGACCTGGGCGCTGTTAGTCTCACTTGCATGGGGGGAAGGGAACTTTAAGCCCCCAGCCCCCGATTTCGCTAACAAAACACAGTGAAGGGGTAGTTAGTGAAGAAACTTGGATCCTTCTGAGGTAAGAAAGGTGGATGGTCAATGTCAGCGTCAAAAAGCGTCCTCGGCGGAAGGTTAATTAATGCAGGTGTGACCCGAGATTGCGACCGGCAATTGAACTAGTAGAAAAGAAGCGAAGGGAGACGAGGAGGAAGTTCACTTGAATTGCGGTGCCATTGGCATTGACATTTGCATTTGCAGTCGCAAATCGCAACAAGTTCGGAGTGGGGTCACTGGACCATCAGGCTCCTTGGAGACTAGCCTCATCACGGCTTTCAGGTGATGTCATGTGCACCAAGCAATTCTGCTGACTCAGATTTCGTTCTAGCATCTTTTTAACTAACTACTAGTAGTTAGTTAATTCTCTCGGCCCGATTCTTGCCGGCCGCTTGGTCTTTTGTGTGTGTGTGTGTGTGTGTGCCATACCCACTGGTAAAACGAATGATTCTTTTGCCCTCCACCTCAAGGACGGTAGGTTTCAACCATTGAGATTTCGGATTGATCAGAGACACATGCAGAGCATAGGATTACCTTCCCAATCAATAGAAGTCTCGAGTCTTGACACAGCTTCCATCGGCCTGTCGAAATTTTAGGGCAAGGATCAACTCAAAACTCCTTAAAACTCCTTAAAACTCCACCCGGTTTGTCCGGTTATCAGCCACCATTGGCAGCCATATAACAGTCGCGGTGGAGAAGTTGTCCCCAAAGGTTACCTTGGATGGAAGGCTGCATAACACTTACGTACTTGGCACAATACAGTCCAGACAATATAACAGGTCGTGGCCGCCATTTTTTTAGTCTTTCCTCTAATATATGATCATTGCCCCGGGGGGTTCTTCTATACATTATACGGGCGTGGCCAAAGGATAGCGATAAAATCAGCCATGTCAGGGGCTATGTTATTAATTAATCACCAGTAACTAACCAGTGAACTACGGAGTATTGTGTAAACCCCAATGTTGTCTTATCCCACGAAAAAAGCCGCCAGCACTAGAGACGGACTAATCCGCACTCCCGCATACTACTAGCAAAACACCCCAAGCCGAAGTAGCCCATAAGCATTAACGGCCCATTACTTTGGCCCCTCCATGCCTTCTGTTCCCTTTTCCTGTTAGATTATCTTTCACCAACCAAAAAACCTACCACGACAAGATTCTCATTGTTTGGTTGGATCTTACTCTATTCCACGGTTGGTTCTTCTCTGTCACTTTGCCCCTGGCCCACCCTTTCACTACCTTTTGGCCCCTATCCTTAACCAAACCCCCACCGCACCTGACCCCCTCAAGCCCTCATACTGGCTGTGCATGCGATGTGATTATTCGGCCTCACTCACTTCAAACCAACGCCAAATCAAGTGTCCGTTGCTTGATTGATCTTGTTTCTCAACTGAAGTAGTGTTTTGTCACTAGTTAGAAGCCTCGTATCATGTTCGGATGGTGTAGTTCGCTGGGTAAGGCTTCCCCTCTTCTATCGTCACCTTGCTTCACCCCGCGCATTATGTTGCCCACCGTATATACCCTACATGATCCAATTGTGGACGCGGCAGCTGTGTGGGCTTATGGTATACGAAGGTCCTCCCACCTAATATTCTGAACTTGGTGCGCTACGATTCCCCGGTCGCTCTATATTAGAACGACAAGTATCAGCTGTCTGCCTCGCTAACAGCTCTTCTAAGCTATGGCGGAATTTGGTCCATCTAAATACTCGGGTCTGCCACCGAAACCAAATATCCGCATAGCGCTCTCTTTTAATAACAAAACACAAACAAAATCATGACGTTTGTCAAGTCAAATTGCAGGGCTAACCATTGTGGTAGGCTTCCCTTCAGTGAGCTCAGAGCCTGACAGGGAGCGACGAGCTCCATCAGGCCCAACACCTTTGGACTTCCCAGCGTATAAGCTCCCTGATGCCACAGATGATGATCCGGAGGCGTCTTTGCGGCAAGTTCATGATATTCTAGCGTCCATCAGAAGGCCACAAGATATCACACTCGACAAGTTCAAAGCCCTCAATTTGAAGGTGGAAACAGGTCTCTCTGCTTCATGTATTGTCCGTAAGGATGGGCCCGATTTTTTTCCTCCTCTGCCTTGGGAAGATACGTCACCCAATTCGTCCCCGTTGACCGAAGATGGTTCCCCGATCTTGATGGAGAATGGGAATTCCTACCCACCAAAAGAGCGATTTGATGTGCTGAAGGAGGAACTACTTCTGGAAAATGACGATGCGTTTCGAGAGGTGGCACGGTTACCTCCGCGCGAGGGACGTCAAAGGGTCCGGGTGACCCATGCGCGAAAATTCTGGACGGGGCTAGAGCGAATGGCACAGTACTGGGACACGAGCTTGGATAACTATTTTGAACGTCCTGCAACTCCCAACCAGGCGGCCGAAGGCGAGTCCGGAGACAGAATGCAGACGGACAATGAACCGTCACCCTGCAAGACTCAGCAAAATCCGGAGACTCAGATGGACATTGACCACCCACTAAATGCAGCAGCTCCTGAAAACAATGTTCCTAGCGAGAGGGATGGTGAGCCTGAATTAGTAGCAATGTACACGGGCCGTCGTATTGGCGCTGGTCATGAAATGCCAGAGGATATTCGGGAAGAAACGATTAGGGCATTGACCGAAATGGCGGCCTGGCCTTTTGGGTGCCAAGTGGCCCTTCCCATGCTGCCTCCGAGACTATCCCTCCGAACATTGTTATTCCCTGTTCGCCAGACGTTTGCGGCTGCTCGATCGCCTAAAGATCGGCAGCTAGCACGAAGTGGTGTCATGGAAGGACCCGTCTTTTCCGCCCAGTGCCGACCTGAAACGTGCTTCCGGGCGCCTGGGGACGTTCCTGGCACTGGATTTGGGGAGGTATGTGATTTGTTACGTGAGGTTGGTGGCATGCTTCTAGCCGCCCAAGAACGAGCACGTCAAGGAATGACAGAAGTGAGACCTGGCGAGGGAAAATGGTGGACAGCGACGCCGCGATGGGGTGGTGCACCCAATGATGCAGTGGGTGATAGTGGCAATTTTACCAATGGTGAGGAAAAGCCGGTGTCGGAAAATGGGAGTTCTCGCAAGCGCTCTAAATACGAACATCCCTTCTTAGCATCCCGTCGACCTGGGTCCTCAAAGAAGTTGAGTAACAGCGAAAAGTGGAAAATTGTTCAGCCAGGCCCTGGTCTTTGGGACAAGCGAATGAGATATATACAGATCGGGAAGGGCCCAGACAACCCATTTGATGATGTCAGTAGTTAAAGCACGGCAGTTATAATTTTCATGCTGACCAGCCGCCGCAGATCTATATGCTCTCTTGTGTCAACCACCATATATCTATCCTTCATTTGCGCGTCCATCGCCGATACATTGATATCATAACCTCGGGGGAGAGCGGTTTTCCTTCCGAATCTGATGCTACAGGACAACCGTGGCATGTGCTACAGCTGCGGCGAACGAAATGGTACGATTTGTTCAATGCTGAGGATCGACTTGAAGTGTTCAAAGGAATATGGACTATATTCCATCACCTTTTGCGGTGCAACTAATGCAATAGCTCGAGCTTTGGTCATCGTTGACTAAGTAAGCTACCCTAAACTGGATATATATCTCTCTAGACCACATGCGTTAGAATCCTACTCTCTGTGACACTTTAGATCAGCGATATATGTGCTTCGATGATCGTTTATATATCTGTTGTGTGTACATTCAGAGCGGGTCATCATTCCTATTATCTGGCTACTGAGGCGCTGTCTTCTTCATTTGTGCTATTTAGCACACGGGTGTATAGAGAAGAGGGAATACTTCAATGCACGTAAATATACAAGCATAAGAAGGCCTACTTCAGCTACACTGGATGGAGCGTAGAGCCCGCATTCACTATTTCCAATATATCAAAGCCATCCATAAACTTACTATTTTTTTTTTTTTTTTTTTAATTTTTAAAAAAAA